GTTTAGTTTGATACTGTTCGATCCTATCTATCGTTTGTTTATTTACAATTGTTTAATATTTATTTTAAATTTTAAATTCATGATAATACATAAATGACATGTAAATACTTATCCTGGAAAAAATCTTGAAAATATTTGTGTGCAACAAATTTATATTGTATTTACGTATTAAAATAATTAAAAGACTTGTTTTTATGTTATTATAGATGATACATTTACAGCAAAAAGTATAAATCATAAGAATCTCAAAACTAATTTACAAAATAAGAAAAGTCGGATGCAACAGATAAAGAAACCACAAGAAACATTAAATAAGGAGAATAAAGACGTGATATTGGAAAAGTCTACCAATTATTTACGTAAAATATTTTTGAACGATATTAATATTAAAGAAAATGAGAAGCAGAAATGTTTCCAGAAATCGGAAAATAAGGAAGTGTGTGACACTGAATTAAAAAATATTTCGCAAATAGATAGTAAGGTTCTTGGCGATCATAGTTATTCCGAACGATTAGGTGATACGACGCCTAATAGAAAAGAAACATCTCTCGGTAATGTTTCTGATAATACATCAGGAGAAGAAAATGTTAGTAATAAACAATTTATAAAACTATACAATTGTGAAAAATATTTAAATATTATTTGATATATATGCACTAAATTTTACAAATATTTATATTTTTTCAGATCGTATTGATGGTTGTTGGTACTGATAGTGTACATATGAAAGAGTATTCTCACGTCCACCAGAAATTAGCTGAAAATTGTCAAGATTCTAATATTGCTTGTTCATCAGGTACATTCCATAATTTCATCCATAATTTATAAAACAAAAAGTACAATATTATAATTAATATTATAGAGATGAATATATATGTATATATATATATGTGTGTGTTAAAATTGTATAACATACGTATAAATTTCTAAGTATATTTATGTATATGTACAAAATCATGATCAGATAAAACTCAAATCAACATGGAATCGAACACCGAGATATGTACAACTACCAAGCCTAAAGGAAAAGCGAAGTTTATTGGCACTAGCAAAGAAGAAAGGGAAATGGCACTAGCATACATAGATCGTATTAAGAAAAAGGGTAATCCTACAGGGAACAATCTTCAATGTCGCATTTGCGACCCCCCTCGTAGTTTCACAGCGCCTACAACTTTAGTATCTCATTATCGAAGTCACGCTGGAATAAAACCGTACGAGTGTCGGATATGTAAAGCTGTTTTTACGAGAAGGCACAGTTTGAAATATCATACGTTGATTCATCAAAATCAGACTCGTTTTACATGTACGGATTGTGGAAAAAAGTTTAGGCACCCATCTCATTTTAGAGAACATCAACGTAGGCATACTGGAGAAGCACCGTTCGGATGTGATGATTGTGGACAACGGTTAGTAAAATTATTGTTCAAAAATATATTTATAATATGTAAATATATAGATAATATTATATTAATATATTTTATACAAATGTTTACGTTCCATTTTTTTTTATAAATAAATTCAAATAAAATTAAATTACACATAGCACACATAAATTTAAATTCAACAAAATTTTTTGTCTTTCTGATCTTCTAAAAAAAAAGAGACAGAATTGACATTAATAATTTTGATATAATATTAATATTCTGCTTTTTTTATATTAGGTTTAAAACCAGAAATACTTATAAACGTCATTTAAAAACACGACATAATAAAATCCTTACTACATTTGGTGAAGTTTTACATCCTCCGGAAGAAGAATATCAAAACATTCGAATTAATCGAAAAAGGAAGGATGATTCTCCAGAAGCTACAATAAATATCGATAACATCGCATCCAATGCAATCGTAAGGTTTGAAAGTCATGACGAAACGCAAGATACTACAAATACAACAGAAGAGTATGTTCTAAAAGATGATATTGATAATAACAGAAACTGGGAAACAAATGATATAATACAAATTGATAAATTTGAGAGTTTTGAGATTTGCTCGGAATCTCAATTGAATAAGACTGATGGTATAGAGACTGAAATAGCTATAGATTGTAAATATCCTGATAGGGAGAACAGCAATGTAAATGTGGAATGTATCGATAGTATAGAGGATGGCCTTCTGCAATTAAAAAATCATTTTTACGATAATTTAAGAGTAACTGATAATGGAGAGAATCTTGTTGTTTGTCAGCATAATATCGAAGATCAAGATTATGAATGTAGCAATGAAATAAAATGTAAAGTCAATTCTAAAAGTGAAACATCAAAAGAAGAAATACAAAAAAATGAAGAAGTAATAAAGCATGAATTAAATACAGATTTTCCAGAAAAACAAGGTAAAAGCAACTTGCAAGTGTTGCAAGAAACGCACGATTATCATAAAAAGATATTCAATAGTGATGTACAAGACAAAAATACAACATATTTAAAAATAGAGCAAACAGAAGCTACAAATTCCAATGAAAATTATCAAAAATATGATGAAAAATATAATGTCATTATACAGAATGATGTCACGAATGAAAATCCTACTAAATATGCAAATAATATCGATATTGAAAATAAAGAACATCCGGGAAATAACATTTTCTGTGCACAGGTTATATATCAAAATATTAATATTTTGCAAGCATTCAATGAAGCTAGTGAAGAGATTATTCTAGAAAATCAAAATAACGTATTGCAAGAAAGCGAATGTATAACTCAATCTGTTGCGACTGATGTGGTAGAAATATTAAATGTTTCTTCAAAAGAGAGTAGTGAAGCAAATCAAGAAATCAATCAACGACAAAGTCATCAGTATTTATACGTCCGTTCCGAACAGTTAAGTACATTAATTGCTCAGAATAAATACGTAACCATACCGCTACATCAAATCAAATTGTGTCGCAATCACGGATTGCAAGCGAAAGTGGACAATCACCGATCGATATATATCATAAATGAGGATATACAAACGATTATAAAGCAATCTGAGAAACAAAATACGATTTTAATTTTATCTAGTGATATCTGCAAGAACAGCATTTTTCAAATTGACAAAAATAGTATTATTGTCAAAGCTCTAAAGAGATAGAGTACCGTGTATGCAAAATAAAAGTAATATTTGTATAAATAAGATACGTAAAGTTTAATGTTGATCACGTTCAAAATATATTTTGTAACATAGCAATGCCCTAATAGGTACAGTCGATCGTGCATATGCAATAATTGTTGTAATATAAAGTAATCTTAGAAAGAAGGAACACAATATAACGCTGCATATTCTTGCTTAAATATCTAGAGAACAAAACCAAATAGATGTAATCGTATGTCTCATTTTTATTACGATATAATTAACTAAAGGTATATAGGTTATATCTTTATAATATTAACTGAAGAAAAATGTTAACGGACTAACGAAACTATCCTTGTCAATTTGATAATGATTAATGCATGGTATTATTATTGTAAGCACTGGACATTAATATCGTTGGCATTTATTTGTTATACAATGTAAGAAATTATTTTTATAATTTTTTTTAAACATGTTAAGGTAAACGTTCCAGATTCCAGATATGTATTATATAGTTATGTCCGAACATTTACGTAAAACTTTATATATTTCTTTATACTATTAATCTCAAATGTTTTTTTTAAATATAGTACTATAATTATATATAATTATAAATATTGGATTATTACAAATATAATTTTAAATATAAAAAATATTATAATACTATAATTATATATAATCATTAAATACAATTAAATTATGTTGTAATAAAAAAAGCAGATTTGAGATTAATAAATTTGGTGTGTGTTCAAACGTAGATACATGCCCGCGCAATCACTAGGACGTTTACCTCATTATCAGCTTGTGTTGATTGCAATAATTACCTGCATTTATTAATTTTCAAGTTTAATACCAAATTAGTATTCAAAATTAAATTTTGCATTCTTTAATTTCACTTTTAACATATACGAAAAATAAGTCTAATTTCACATGATTATTAAATACAGGTACAGTTTTATTAATTGTATTTATTAGCATGAAAAAAAATATGAAAATATGGTAAAGTGCCAAATATAAGAAAGTACGTTACAGTTATTTAATCTCAATATAATTTCATATACAATTTTCCATTTTTTAAGATTGTCATAAATGTACTATTATATAATTTATTTTTATAATAATGCTATTGAAGCTTTTTAATGTTTATCTCTGCTGTTTTGGATTATTATTTTAGAGAATATCTTTATGGATTGCTTAGATGCCCTACGCACAATGGAGGAAATATTAGAAATAGGAATAAATATTAATATTTCAACCTATCAGAAACCGTATTTTAGTGCAATTAGTATCTGATAAGTTGAAATTTTAATATTTATTCCTGTTCCTAATATTTGTTCTATTATGCACAGGATAAAATAATAATACATTTATAATTTTTTGAACAATTATATATTATATTAACTGAAAAAAAATTAACAAATTATAGATATTTATAAAATGTATGATGTAATTTAAGAACAAAGTTCAGTTTTTTACATTGAATCATTCATTCACTTTCAGTTTGTATGACATCTTTTTTTATTCCTACATTATCTGAACTGATCCACACGATACAATAAGTTGAAGTGAAACAAATATACATTAATTTCATTTTAATGTATTGCACCGTGTACACCAGTTCAGAAAGTGCAGGAATAAAAAACAGACCTATAAATTGCTCCGTATGAATTATATGTAGCGTACTTTGAATGTCGTAGCTTCACGTATTTCTTTTTGACAACATTTTTTCAGCAATACATATTTTTTACAATTTTTTTTCTAAAAGAATCAAGCATTAATGCATTTATTGCAATATTGCAATAAATTATTAAATTATAGATATTCGAAAATTCACATATTAATTGTTAATTAATTGATAATCTATATATTAAGTTCAAATAAATTACAAACTATGTTTTCTATCTAATTTATTAGTTTCTACATGTTTTTTATGTTGAATAATATATAATTTTTATGCTAAAGTGTATAAATTTATTCTATTTATTTGTATAAAATCTATATATCCGAGAAGTTCCGAGATTCAATTGCAATCCAATTAGAAATACACATTCGATGTGCTCAGAAAAATAAAACATAATTAATTAGATGCTATGCTGCATCGTGCTTAACTAAGACAACGTGAATAAAGCAGACATAGTTAAAGAATTTACAATAGTGATATTTCAACTTTGCTAACAAAGAAACATTTTTTTAAATTCATATTGTTAATTAATTAAAAGAGAAGTACATATTTTCACACAGTAATTTAAAATCTAACAGTATTATGATTCTTCGGCTCAGCTTCAGTTTTTGTTTTTTTTTTTCCGAATATTACACCTTTGTGAATTACGACCTTTAGGATTATAATAAGCCATGAGTTGCGCCATTCCTTTTGTCCGTTCCCATTCTTCTTTTGTCATATTCTCAAAATAATCAGGATGACAGCACTTATCTATTTCAGCCTGAGCTTCAGGTGATAGATCAGGCGGCTTAGTTATCACATAAGTTTTTTTTGTATTTGCAAGCTCTGATGAGGCTTCAACTGTCTCCTTTATCTCTTTTAGCGACATCTTTAACTTAGGTTAAATACCTATTAGTTTTCCTTGGTGACCAGAATATCTTCTAATATGAGTTCGCAACCTTTAAAAAAAATGTTTTAGCTTAGAAATTTTATTCACTCAGATCTATAAATTTGAGACTCTAGTTTTTATAGGTTTTATACTAAAGTTTATTATGAATAAATTTGTGAAAACTTGTACTTGTAAAGAATCGATTTCTGCAGTTTTAGGTATTATGTATATTTTAGGTCTAAGTTTCAAATAATTAGCCAAGAAATTTAGATAGTTTTCTCTTTCAGATCTCTATTCCGTAGACTTTATTCTGTAATCATAAAATAATATTTGAAATTTATACATACATAGTGCCATGTATACAAGCTTATGTATTGTAATTAATAACAAAATTCTCAAAATCAAAATTTGGCAAAATTTGATTAAATTAATATTGCTAATTTATGTGCAATATATTCAAACTCGGAACTTTCTCGACATAGATAATACATGATCGATTCGAATTAATTTAAAATACCTTTTTTTTACACAAAAGAATAAAAATCATTAATGTGTGATTAATGTATATACATTATGTTACAGAATGTGGTAAGAATAATGAATATAACTGAAGTGACTTTTTGTGTTAAAAAAAATCGAAATTATGGAAGCTATGAGAAAATTGATTTAAAGTCTATACATCAGGAAACACTCGTACTGTTTCGGCTCTAAGACAAGTTATTAGTTACGTCATATTACATATCCTTACCTTATGCTATTTCATAATTTCTCACACCGTCAATAATTCACAAGTTCAATTCTTTGACGAACATATCAATGACAGTAACATATAATGCATTTATACATATTATTGTAATTCGTAATTTTTAATACCGTCTACAAGATAATGAATTTTACGAATGTAATTACAATAGTTAAGATACTAATTAATAAGGTAGATTATATCCATATATATATGAAATATTATTATTATTATTATATAAAGGGTGCCTTTTTGATAGGAATAAGATAATAGCGGGAAATAAAATATAAAAATATGGTAGCTAATATCATTAAAATATTTATCAGTTACGATTTCATATTGATAAAAAATATAATCTTTATATAATCTATAAAATTATGTACATTAATTATAATCAGTTTTGATTACAAAAATATAATATTGTAGAAATTTAGACAGAGAAAAGGAACACGTAAGGCAAATTACTCAAGAATGTTCGTTCTCGCAGAGGTTTCGTGTTGTACAGTTTCGTATTAAAATTAACATAATATAGTAATAGCGCTTTAAAACCGCGAGCTTATAATATTCGCGTCGTAAGTTATCGACTATGTAAAGAACAATAACTTTGCTTACATAATGTATTTTTCTACATATATTTTGTACTTGCGAATAAATTTCTAAAAATATTCTGCATGAATCATTCCGATTACCTGCTATATATTTAAAATAAAAAGGAGTTAGCGTACAAGTGACATGTATTGGGTGGATCCATATATTCGTTCGCTTTTTGAAGGCTAAAATGAAACAAGTTTTTTTCATACAAAGGATGAATTTTAATCAATAATATATTCTCCGTTTTTGTTGATGACCTCTTGCCATCTTTCCAACAATTTCATTATTCCGCTCTCATAGAAGGTCTGGGGCTTAGAGGCGAAAAACCGGTCGAGGTACGTTTTCACAGCTGTCTGATCAGCGAACGATTTCCCGTTGAGGGAGTTTTGCAGGGACCGGAACAAGTGATAGTCGGATGGCGCAAGGTCTGGTGAATACGGTGGGTGAGGCAAAACATCCCAGCCAAGTTGCACTAATTTTTGCTGAGTGATTATTGCGGTGTGGGGTCTGGTATGGTGGAATATGACACCTTTGCGATTGATCAGTTCTGGACGTTTCTGTCGCAATGCTTGATTCAATTTCGTTAGCTGCGTGCAGTAGATCTTCGAATCGATCGTTTTTCCCTGAGGAAGCAGCTCGTAAAACAGCACACCACGATGATCCCACCATATGGATAGCAAAATCTTCTTCGGATGCAGGCCGGCCTTCGGGGTGGCATTCGGCGGCTCGCCAGCGGTTCCCCACGATCTCTTGTGCACTATGTTGTCATAGATGATCCACTTTTCGTCGCCAGTCACTATTCGTTTGAGAAACGGGTCGCTTTCGTGCCGCTTCAGAAGTGAATTGCAGATGGATATGCGGTTGGCCAGGTTCTCCTCGGTCAGCTTGTGCGGCACCCAAACATCGAGGCGGGGCACGTAGCCAAGCTGTTGCAAATGCCTTTGTACGGTTCCATAACCTATTTTAAGTGTCTCCGCAATCTCTCGCACCTTTAGCGTCCGGTCTTGCTCAACCAGTGCCTTGATATCATTCGAATCAACCTCGGTGGGCCGACCGCTGCGGGGTCCATCTTCAAGACTCGTATCTCCGGAACGAAATTTGGCAAACCATTTCTGAGCGGCACGTTTTGTTAAGGCATCGTCCCCGTATACGCTGCATATCTTTCGGTGGGCCTCCGCAGCTCGCTTGCCTTTCTTGAAGTAATAAAGCAAAATGTGCCGAAAATGCACCTTATTCTCCGACATGTTCACAGGTCTATAGCACAAACAAAACTAATGCCAATGAAACCAAATTTGACAGATGAAAAGAGCGGACTGTCACCTTTCCAAAACATATTTGGATTGCCCGATTAGGCAACCAGAACCGGAGATATTCGGAAAAAATTTGCACTACTAACAAAAAGCGAACGAATATATGGATCCACCCAATATTAAAATTTCTTATGAATGCAAATTCTTTTTACGAACGTGAGATTCTTAATTGCTTTGTAAAAATCAAATATAACACAATATTGAAAAGATAAAGTAAACAATATATTACAATTAATGGACATGATCCCATTATTGAAAGTTATATAAAATTTTAAATATTAAATATTAAGCTTTTAATAATATGCCTCTAAATAATAATATCGTTGTTTATAAAAATTTAATAACGAATTTATTTAGAATTATACACATCATTAAAAGCTTAATGTTTAACATTTTTGTCATTTTGTCCAAAAATTGGACGATGTCCATTGACTGATACATTTACCTCAATATAACATACTTTTAAAATACGTATCCTCTCGATATGTCACCTCGATCCAGATTACGGTACTTGATATCGTTTTGGAGAATTGTAGCTTTCTCTTGTGAAACTTTTCAGAATCTTTTGCTCGGAACTAGCTGACAACTCAAACGGCAAGCAAGAGCAAACCCAAAAAACAATTGAAGGCGAGTGCAAGAACAAAAGTGAATTAGACAAAAGAATTCAATAAAAGAAGAATAAGATCTTATAACGCCATCTAACTGTTATCTGCTATAAAATCTTGCGCCATCTAACTATTATCTGCTGCTATCCTATTCATTGTGATCATTGATATTTATAATATTTCATGTCGATACAATATTTTTTTAATAGGAACAATCTGTAAAAGGAAGAATATTTTATTATCTATTAGTAATTATCTATTAAAAGAATATTTTGAAAACATTACATCCTATTACGCGCCGCGACTTTAATTAAATGTCTAATATTTTTGATTCCCTAACAATATAATTCCATTGAATCTTTGGAATTTGTGCTACAACTTTTTACGTTTTAAAAAGGAAAAAAAAAGATCTCCCTGAAACTTCCGACATAATAATAAAATTAATTCTATATATGTATCATATACATTTTTCGCATTAATCCTTATTCTGTTCTATTTCTTCTAATAATTAAATTTTTTCTTATGAGAAATCTCATCAATACATTACTTTTGCTACTTGAATAAATCACGCTATTATTATTTTCACAAATTTCGCCCTTCTCAATAAGCAAAAATTTTGAAAATCAACAAAAATGATTTCAAAGTTACGTCCCACACAACATGAAATATTTCCGAAATATTTTAAAAATATTGCATTGCAAGATTTTAAATACTTCCGAAATGTTTCATGGAATATTTCTAAAATATAAATATCTCCAGGAAATCAGAAATATTTTTGAAATATTCTTGTTTCCACAATATTTGTTGAAAATTTCTAAAATATTTTAGAGAAATATATTTTATACTTTTGAACAATACTGCAAAACGTTTACGAAAAATATTTCTGAAATATTGTTTATTGAAATATTTAAAACAAGAATAATTCACGTAAATATTTCATACTGTATAACGAGTGCAGTACGCTTCGTTTTTACTCAATGTATAACACGGCGAAAGACTCATGATTAAATCGCTTCATTAAACCTTACAAACTGGGAACAACACAAATATTTACAACATCCCAGATTCATCGTCGCGCGAATGCCAAACATTCGCTGACATTCGCGACCGGTTCGTGTCCGCCGGTTGACAACACGCGCGACCGGCGACAATTACGCGGGCGCGGCATGCCGTCCTGTTGCTTTTCTTGTTTGGAGAACGGTTCCGCCGCGGGGAACACAAGATTTGCGAGGCGGTTAAAATGGCGAGCCGAACCAGGCTCGCGAATCAGGATATAATGGATGGGGTATGCGCGTCGCACATCGGCGACGATCGCCCGGCCCGGGTGCGATTCGCTCGACGTATATATTTACTGTTACAGGAGTTTCGCGGGGCGAACGCTGTTCGCCATGGTTCGCCGCGCGCTCGGCGACCTGCGTTGTACCTGCAGCCGACCAGTTCACCAGTATGGCAGTATCGCGAACCATCGCGAACGGCGAGGACTTGATCGCAGGTGCCGCCCGCGACGGTGTAATCTCTCGTCGATCTAATTCCACGCGAGAGAACGTCCGTTCGCCGGGAAACGGAATTGGCGACGGTCTCGCAAGAACAGTCTTGCAGAATCATCGGCGATAGTCTCGTCGAATAAATTATAGATACAGCTGCCTCGTTAAGTCTGGTCTCACGAAAACAGAACGGAATAGGAGAGACTGTATTATACTTGCACAACAACGTGGCCCCACTGTGCGTCCCATTATTCGCGAGTTATCGAGGTCTTCGCGTTCGCCGCGGTGATACCAGGTACGATTACGCGTGTACAGCCTTCGTCGAGAGATATTCTCAGGTATTCTCATATATGTAATCCATCCCAAGGAATACATCAAATTAAATGATTTTATTTGGACTTCAAAATGATGATTTTAAGTTTGACTATTTATTGACGTTAAGAATTACAAGGTTTAACTGTTTATTATTATTGACGTTAAGAATTAAAATAGTCATTTTGATTTTATTCTCGAGACTCTCCGTGTGTTCCTTGGAAAGCACAGAAGCTTACAGCAACATTTGCAACGTTATTGCAATATTGTTATAACGTTACAATATTGTTCCGATATTATTGGAGTCATTTGTGCTGTATATGCGTCATTTCTCTATAGATAGACCGAATATAACGTCTCTACCCAAGCAGAACAACAATCCATACAACACAAATCATTATAGCAATAACGATCGCGTTCAGCAAAAAAAAGCAACTTTGCAACTGTTATTCAAATCCAAGAAACACACAAAAATCAACAAAAAAAAATGACTTTATTTTGATTCTTAACGTTAATAAACAGTCAAATTTTCTAACTAAAAATTACCATTTTGGCTTTCATGACGTCAAAATAAATTAAGTAATTTTGACTTTCTCTTTAACTTGATGTATTCCTTAGTGATATCAGATTTTTTTATATTATGATTGACCTTTCCCTTAGTTTCTCACGAATCTATAAATATAGAAACCAATCGCATTAAATATAATTTTAACAGTTGCAAAGCCGCTTTTTACGCTAAACGTAGACATTGCAACGTTCCAGCAATATTGTAGTAACATTGAAAAAATGTTGCAGCAACATTGCTCCAAATTCTATGCTGTATGGGAAGTCGTGATATATAAAATGACGTTAAAATGAAATCGTAAAATAAATTGAAAAGTGAGTTTTAGTAATCATTTTGCAATCATTTCGCTGTCATGATGACTTGTGTTCTGCTTGGGTAATCACTAGCCAGCCAGACCTCCCTCTATTGAAGGAGTTCAAGAAGAAGCTCTATGAATGCTCGAACGACATCAGGAGACACCTACGGTACGGTGACACATCCGGTACTCAGGAGTTGAACTGTAGCGAGGACTTCGATTGCATCTGGAAGACTGAAAGTAACGGTGGTTCGTCGGGTGTCATCCTGATAACGACACGGATCGGCGCTCGTCGAAAAGAGAACTTTTGGGAACAAGCATTACCGGTGCAATATATCATGCGTACGAAGAACCATCCCGGAAAATCGAAAGCGACACGACGTTCTTACCGTCGGCAGTACGTACGCGCGGGACACGCGCCATCGGCATAAATATTGAATTGAACAAGTGACGTAATATTAGTTGCGCGAGGCATGATAATAAGCGAGGACGTCGTCGTTGCTCATCGGCGCACCTCGCGATCAGATAAAGCCGCTCGAAATTGTTCCCCGTTTCGAGGTCGACGCACTGCTCGCGTATCTGCCGCGGAGAAGCCCGATAAAAGGTTCAGTCCGGATCCATCGTCGTTGCCAGCCTGCTGTTGCATTCCCGAATTCTCGCCGGCGGAAACGCACGGAATGGAGGTGAGTCTCTCCCTCGCTTCGACTAAAAAGTAAATAAAAAGGAGTTTCCGGAAAACCGATCGCTTGCAGACACTCCACCCTAGCAAACACCGAATATAACTATGTAATATAGCTGTAAAATATTTATATATATCTGTTATATAGCAGTTACATTTATTAGGTCCGATTTCTCTCATCAATGTAAAATTATCTTAAATTTTTTCTCTATTCTTAGAATTAGAAAAAGATAAACAGTAAGTTAAATCAAAATTAAAATTAATCTTACATTGGTGGAGCCGGGCTAAGTTTGTTTTATACCCGTTCCTGTCAATGTAATTTAATTTTAATTAGTTCATCTAACTCTTTACTAGTTCTAAGAGTTAGAAAAAGCTGAAGAATAAGTTAAACCGAAATTAAAGTTAATCTACATTGATAGAAATGGGATATTACTTGAACTTGCATGTGTACAGGGTTTCATCTTTTCTCTTTTTTCTTCGGTGTAGAGAGAAAAGAAGAGAAGAGATGAACTGTGCAGAAAAATCAACTAAAAAGAACAAGACTAACGTTTGCTGAAACATATTTTCGTAGACTGTCGTAGAGGAATCGTTCATTGGAACGATCTAACCGATGATCTGCCTATCCCACAGATGTCCCTCGCGCTTCCTGCAATTTAAAGCGATCGAAATACGCGTATACTTGGATCTAGGAAAGTTAAAGATGCGTGCTAGACGAGACATCAGGAAATGGGAAAATATGGAAAGTGTAGCTAAACGGAGTAAATCTGCGTAACGACAGTCTTATTTATCTCTAATGTTCGAGCAGCGAGTGAATTGTCAGTTACGCAAAACGCGAATTTACACGGAAAAAAATTAATAGCATTAATAGCATTAACTGACAGCAGTCTCTGATTAAAAACAATCTTGTTAATTTTCAGAAAATCTTTAATGAAAAACAAATACGTCATGCTCTTGTTTTAATAAAATTTGATTTGTTTTGTTAATATTGTTATTAAATAAACACGAATTTTCAATTAGACTGTTTTTTTTTTATTAATACTGATAATTTAATTAATATAATATCATTTTTTTTCGTGTTTAAACCGAAATGAGATCCCTTTTCGTTTCAAGGTAAAGAAATAAAAATTGCTTGAACACTTTGATTTCATTGCACGTCCTTTTTATCTTTCTATCATCTCGAAAGATAAATAAAATAAAAATAAATACAGATATAGAGATAAAAAAATACAATTATTGATTAGGGAAATAAGGAACTTAAATAAATACTTGAAAGATATAATTATTTCATTATTTAATTCGCGTGATGAATATGAATTAATGTTATACGAGATCTGGTTATGAAAAGACTTGAATTCCACTGAGTGAGAGTTAATTCCACCTCGTACTATTGCGCGTGACATCGCGACTGTGTTTACAATGACATTTTTCATTGAATCGTCTACGCAATGTTGATATCATATCTCTCGCACTCCACAGCTTCTTCGTAAAGTTTAGTAATTTGGTGCTTTAATTGGAAAAACGACGTTAGTGCGACAGAAGCAGAAAAAACAAATTTTTTGTCTAAATTTAAAAAAGTTGAAATAAATGCGTGTTCGCTAATCATTTCATCTGTAACAATTGGGCTAATAATACAACATATTCCGTATGTAATATTGCCATTTGTTAAAACAGTCAATAAATTTGTAAAGCCATCGCGGTTCCTGTCATATGTTTGCGGAAAACTTTTGTACACATTTCTGCGTCGTTCTTAAATTCTAAACAAATTATTGCCATGGAATTCTTA